AGTGCTGGGCGCCAATGCATGCTTGAATGTGTGTGCATGGCGCAAGGATGTTCAAGGATATGGGCATAGCAATGGGTGACTGTGACGGCATGAAAACGATTTCATTATGAATGTAGCCCATAATCCGTAAAAGGACAGCAACCAGGCGACCAGGCGACCAGGCGATCATCGGGGAGGTGTCCGTGTCCAAGACTGACAATAGAGCCGAAGGGGGGCCTGGGGCAGGACTGGTCCCATCGGCGTTGGCAAGTCAGGATGTGCTGCGTTTGCTCAGGTTGCCCGCTCAGCGCCAGAATGCAAAATGCGCTGCGAACTGGAGTTGATTTAGTATTTGCAGACAAGCGGTTATTACACGCACTCGTGTGGCGGCCAGTTCGTCCTCCACCAGCCACTCCCACATTCCTGCCGTTGATGCTGCCCTCCCCTTTCTTTCCAGCTATATATGTAGATGTAGAAATGGAATGTCGGCAGCCGGCACGTACGCTCAGTTACAGTTAAGTTACAGTTACAGTTGCCGCTTAGCTAATGTCCTGCTCTTGTCCTTGTCCTCGAGCTCGTGCTCGTGCCACTGTTGTTGTTATTGTTTCTGCTGTCACATGTTTTTACGGTCGCTTGTGCAACATATGCGGCAAATTTTTGGCTTGCAACTACCAAATACCAAGCACAATGAACCTTTCAAAGTCGAAGTTGAAGGTGTTTTGTCGGCCAGCTCCGACATTCATGGAATATTGCATATAGTATTTTATATGCGCCAGAGTAACCCGTACTGAAGCAATCCACGGTGGAAAAGGATCGTACATTGTTTAGAATAGCAAAAACGTAGTTAAGTTTCTTACATCTCCCTATCATTATAAATGTTGATACAGTTTTTGGCTAAATAAATGAACAGCAAATTCTCCATTCTTACAAGTATTAAAAATGTTACAGGGATGCATGCATTTGTTGGTAAATAATTATTGGAAAGGAAACTAAGTTAAGTGAACCACAAAAACAAGACTTATTTAATAGCATTCGATAGATAAGTTTTCACTTTATATTCAATATAAATCTAATCTACTTGTATTTATCAGGAAATGTCCTACAAAGACAAAATTTCTTATGAATGTGAACGAACTTATTACTAATCTAATAATTCAAATAAATCGCAGTATAGACCCTTTTAAAATGAAATTAAAATATTGCAAAGAATATGCTTTTTTTATATACAACACTTTTCATTCACACATCATTTGAATTTGAGATGATCCTTTTTTTTAATACTTCAAACAAACAAAATGTGCAGTTCAGAAAGTAGCTTTTTAAAAATGTAATGGCCTGGCGATTTCAGTGTCAATAGTTTTTGATTTCAGAAAAATAACATTTTATTTTATGTGAGTTTGCGAAACACACTTTCGCCCAATTTCCAAAAACTTGTTACTTCGTTACTATTTCCGATTCGTTGTGTGTTTGTAGATCGTTTGCTGGATATTAAATTTTTTCTTCGAGTTAGAGGCTTACTTTTTTCGTGGAGTAATCTAATTGAAGTCCCTCTTTTTACTTTTTCGAACCCTCTTATCTGTCTAAACTGTTGCTTGGCTATGAATAAAAATTCGGAGGCGTCATTAGCTGTTATTGTAACGTTGTTAGATTCTGTTTAGGCATTACATCGTATTTTAAATTCTCTTCCCATGTGGAGAGTCTATATTTTCTGACTTATTAAAAAATAAAAGCATATCAACAACTTTCATATACTTTGGAACACTGTCGATTGTTGGGATAGCCTCACGTCTGTCTGTGGCAATTTATTAGTTTATTTTTCTTCCCCATACACCACCTGCTCTGTTTGTGCTCAGTGTGTATGGACGGGTGTGTAAGTGCTTAAGTAGATCCAACTAGTTTGCATATCCACTAAGATGCACAATCTCTGTACATGCTCCTATGCCCCATAATTTCAGTCCTCGCTCATATATCACCAGCGAACTTCCCATGGCAGTTGAGGCGTCCAGAGCGCTCATTCGCTTTAAAATGGATGGCGACAAGCGGAGCACTGGCTTGGGGTATTAACGTGGCGCAAATGCTGCAGCAACAACAACAATAACACATACCTAGGATATATAGTGCACACATGTGTGCGTGTCTGTAAGTTGGAAGTCGGAAACGGCAACTTATGAAGTTGTTTAAAAGTCCTTGACAGTGGTGGGTAATTTTACCCGAAATGGGTTTATTTCAAGCAGCGACTGCAGACGGCGCCTGCGAAAGGGTTTACGAGTAGAGCGCACAGACAGGCCAACAACAGTTGGCCAGATAAATGGAAAGTATTGCATTGTCCTGCTATTAAGTTATCAACGCTTTCCTCACACACACACGCGCACACACACACATACACAGAGAGACACACACACTCGAGGACAGACTTGTGCGGCACGTATTTGTTGCGGCCACACACAAATATTGCCCCAGTCCCAATGGCCATTGCTGCTGCGGAGCGGGTCCTGCAACTCCTTTTGCTGTCGCCTGCGTTGAGGGCGCAGCAATTTAATATTTTGCAACAATTTCTTGTTATGCCATGTAAAAGGTGTTGTAGTTGCTTCTCATTTTATGGTGGAGCGGCAGCAGCGACCAGACAACCACAGTTGTTATCCTTGTTGTCGTTGCCGTTGTCCTTGCCACGGCTGCCGACTAGCTGGCACAAACATTTTTATTCAAATCATGCGTAAGTGCCGAAAGGACACTAAACCTTAAATTACATAGACACCCGAAAAGCACACACACACACATACTACTTCCGTGGGTACACGTATATGCCCGTGCGCCCTAACGTATGTTGCATTATTTTCATTTGGCCATTTCCTGCCTTCTGTTGCCGCTTTTTATTGCCCTGCGCCAGTGTTCTTGCCTCATGTTCTGTACTGTCCTGTTGTCGTTTAAGAATTATTTGAATTTGCCAAATTATTTATACGAGTACCACAAGGCCCGACTGCCGCACATGTAACATAAACATTTGTCCCCTAGCCGTTGCTCTAATTAATTTTCAACCAACTAATTGAAATGAAATAGAAATCTGGGCAACGTATCTCTTGTAATCTGAGTAATGTCTGGACATAGCTGTGTTAAGTGTGCCGCTTATGTTTCAATAATCAAATCACAATATACTGTACTAATTATATGCCAAGTAATAATTAGATGCAATGCATCGGCCATTGTTGCCATTGTTTACATTTTCGCTCCAATATTTATTGCCGCACATTTACATATTTAAATTAAATTATACTTATGATGAATTAATCGGCTAATGTTTGCCTCGATATAGGTGCTTATTATTTAACCACATTATTATCAAAGCACTCACAGCCGAATTTAGTTGTTTATTGGCATTCTAGGTCAGACAAGAGCTAATGAACGCATCAAAATCAAAATATCTCTGTAATGCAATTTATAATCACAGGGAACTTGTTGGGGCACTGGAAATTCTCAGAGCTTCTTACTAACACAGCCTTAAAAAACTATAAATATGAATATCATATGGAGAAGTAATATTTAATGGTTTTTTTCCATTTAGTCGTATATACACAATTAATGGAATTCAAATTCTTCCTACATTAAAAGAATGAAAACATAAAAGTTGGCAAAAAATTAGGACCTATTTTATGATTTATCTGGCCTCTGTAGTATTTAAAATTCAAGTATAAAGCAAGTATGAGTTTACAACTATGGATGATAGATCCACTCAAAATTTCATAACTCTGGATAGTTGTTCTTCGTCAAATCGCCGATGAACATTTTTTATAGCTCTATATAGTCGTCACCAAGCTCTTGAAGAGTGCAGACGTGCAGACGTCTATTAGTAGGAGCCCTAAAAATGTTTGTCGCCGATTCGATGAATAACAACTTTATTAAAAAGAAAACTTTTTACCAAAATACAAAAAAAATCTGAAACTGAGAATTTTGTGCTTACATCGGCTTAATATCGGCTGTAGTCCTTTCGACGAAGAACAACCTTAGATTACGTAAAATAAGAACAACCATCTAGGGCTAATAAATACTAGGCGTAATCGATCAAATTCAATTACGTGTATTTAATTATGAGCAACGTGTTATTATTTTATGTCAAAGTTTTGCTTTGGATTATTTGGATTGGATTATTATAGACAATAATTCAAATTCCAATTATGGAGTACAAAACTCTTTGTTCTCTACCACATTAAAAGCCGAAAAGGTAGATATGCGCATTCGGTATTTTCTTATAAATTACATTAAAAATATATTCGATAGTAGACTGGCCCCGAAATGTGACTTTAAGTGCCTTTCAGTAGATAAGGCCCGTTATTATTTATTCTCGGAAAAACACAAATTATTTTTTCAGCAGTGTTCGCTTACATGTGACACTATAAATATAATCGACAAATAAAGAAAAGAATTCAATATTTACTCGTAATGGGAAACACAAATGTAAAACGTGTTCTCCTGATTCATTTAATTTGTCATTAAAATACAAATACATTCAAATTCAAACACAGAAACAATTTATCTTTTATTTTAATTGTCAGACACAAAAAGCCTCTCAGTAGTTAGCATTAGGGATAAAAAATAAAGCCCACTCCAGATGGGTAATGGATCAATAATAATAAAAACCCATGCTAGACGAATTGATCAGACTAGATAAAAGATTGATCAACTGCCAAAGGCAGGTAGTTACAAAAATAAAATTTGGATTGCCAACTTCTATGCATTTTTAAAATTTAAATGTAAATTAAAGCAACATTTCAATTACTAAGCAACTTAAAGTTCTTTGGAACTCTGATTTTTTCAATCTAAATACAAATTATTGCTGAACTTGTCGATCTTTTTATTCTATAACTGTTGAGAAAAATATTTAATTTTTCAACGAAAGACATTCACAAATGATCAGTGGTTTTTAGCTCGTGATATGGAACTTTGGAGACAAAAATGGCACTTGTGTGGCATTTAAGTCCATGAATTACGATATTCATTCTGATTTGTTAACAATACTGTTCACTTACCACAACAGTAGTGCCGTTGACATTTGCGGACTTAAATTTGTTTAAAACTGTCTCGGAGCGTAGTTCGGTGTCCAAGTTCGACACTTGTTCGAGGAATTTCCAACTGAGAGGTTCAGAGTTTTCTGTCGATTGCACCAAACTTGAACTGAAATTTTCGAATAAATGCGAGCGACGATTCTGCGATTGTTGCAGTTGCTGTGGAGCTTGCTGCTGATCTTCAAGCTTGGGGGCGTATATTGTTGTTTTTGTTGTGGTTAAATCAGCGGATAATTGCAACATGGCCACAAGCGTTTAACATTTTATTTATAATTGCATCGATGAGCACAGAAATGTAATTGTTCTTGTTTGTTTGCTTTTCTAATTGGAACTTATAAGCAGACGATGTTAATTAGCTCAGCGAAATGGAGCGCTAAAGGAAGATTTAGTAAGTGCGACAGTTGATTAATGGCATTACGCATACGCAGTGTATGACGTTGTTAAAAACGAAGTGATTTCTCACTCAATTTCACAAGAAAAGGCAAATTTGGCATGCAAATGACTGCCGAGCGGACAGACGGACGCTGTTTAAATTGCGCGTGAAATGCATTGGCCACTCTCAAAACACTCACACATATACTATATATACATAAATATATATATTTAAATATATTCACACACACACACACACACACACACACATGCACGTGAAGATTCAACACACGCGTTCGCGGCACACACAGAAAAAAAAGGAAAAAAGAAAAGCATTAACGGAATTGATCGCGCCGCTGACCTTCACTTCAGTAACTTATAGAACGCGATCGCAAGCAAAAGCAAATACAAAAAAAAAAAAAAAACCATACCGCCACGCACTTGGAAAAGATATAATAACGAACTCTGCAGCATCTGCTGGTGGCCAAGAATTTCGACGCTACTAACTTAGTAGTGGTCTATATCGTCTATTCGCTGTCGCCTCTTCCATCAACTGACTGCTATTACCGAGTGTCGTGCGCCGTGTACCGGACTCGGCCACGTTATTAAAACAACTGAACGCAAATTGACTTTGGCCAGCTTTCAACACTTTCGTGGCAGCCGCACACAGCAGCACAAGCACAAGCACAAGCAGCAGCTGCGGCTGCGGCTGAGGCAGAGGCAGAGCTAGCAGACGCAGAAACGGAAAACAGACAACAGAAAACAGAAAAAGCAACAACAACCACAGCCAGTCGCAGTCGGCGCCGGACGGTATGGCGCTTCGGGCGGGCAAAGCTTTTGCCGAACAGATTCCAAAGTTTCACTCAAATGGGTCGTGGCGGCACTCGCACTGGCTGGCGCTTCGGCTGCAAATTGTTTGGTTTGTTTACGTTTGGAGCCGAGCAGATGCAACACGTGGCTGCCACCGGCGCCGGCGTAGAGCGTCCTAGCCTGGCTTCTAGAGCCAGGGCCCACTGCGACGTTTTTGTTATTGTTTACATTTTGTTTGTCAACACGTGGTCGGCGGGCTCGAGCTACGAGTGAGTCGACGGAAAATTCGAGTTACACAAATTTGTGAAATGCAAACAATTTTGAGCCAATGACAACGTGTTTTATTGAAAGCTCTGGTCACATAGGCAAATTATCTGCACACAATTGTAAGAAGATTATGCTCACTCAGGGCTACTTGCAAATTGTTTGCTTGTTTGACCGCGCTACGGAAGATGCTCAGAGTGAGAGAGAAAGATATTCGATCTTACCTCTCATAAACTAGTAAGGGAAAAGGTAATAGTGTAGTTTGAGGAGCTAAAAGAGGTTTCGCCCTTTCACATTATTTCGATATTCGAATACTCAGTGACAAGGGCGTAGGCAGCTTTTACCAAAGGGGGGGCCAAAAAATTAAACTTTCGATTAAATAATGCACGATGCATTTAAAAAAAAACTTATGCATACGATCAATTAAAAAACTTCAAGAAATCCAACTCAGATCCATTTTAAGGCGAAATAGTGTGTCATAATATTGAACGTGTGGACGACTTTATGGCAACATTTATTTAGCCCCCCCTCGTGCCTACGCCCTTGTTCAGTGACGTCGTCGAATACTAGATAATTAAGGTTAAAGAGCCACATTCCCCGTTATAATGAAGAGTATATCTTATACTCATTAAGATAAATAGAGTTTTTTTCGAATTAATTTACGTTCTCATAGGTTTTTAATTAAATTTTTCCACCGCTGTAAAACACCTGTACAACCTGAACTCTTTATTATGAACTAATTATATATACTTGTAGATACACACCAATTAATGAGCCAATTTTTATGAATAAATGAAATGAATGAAAGAAATTACGATCCCTTTGCTTAACTTTTCTCATCGGAGTTTTTTTATACTCTGTACATGAAATTGTCTTTCTTTTGGTTTCCCCCACATCCCCGATAATCGGGTTTTTCCGTAACGCCGTTCATATAATCACCTTTATGTCGGAGATTAAAAGACCTAGGGACACCAAATTTGAGTCCAAGATGTCTCATGTGAATACGAAGAAAATATGAATTTTGGAATTTCCGTCCCTCCCCCTTTCCCTAACAATTGGTGATTTCCATAACTCCCGTAATTCTTGGAAATTTTAACACAAATTTGGTATGTACCTCCAGTGAGTTCAAATACCGAAGGAGGTAAAATTGATCAACATTTTTTTTACTATTTTTTAATATTCCAATTTTGTTTTTTAATTTCTTTAATTACTCTACACATATGCACAGAGTATTTCAAAGTCGGGCAACCCTACTTTAGCTTTTTTACTTGTTTTTATAAAACCTTACATCTATAATAAATAAATGAAATACCACTTTGCTTGATTTTTTTCCCCAATTACCAATTATAAGAAAGCAAGAAAGCATCAATTAAAATTTGGCCACAATTTTCTGACAAACAAATGAACAGTACTAAGACATATTTATGCCAAGATATCATTTTCAATTCCAATGAACTACCTACAGACTCGCTTAGCCGAGCAAAAGCTGTCACAGCTGCATAAAATCTGCAGGTCAACAATGTTTTCATTTGCTATGTATGTCCATGCTCTACGCAGGTGTACCAATCATGAACTAAGTCCCTACATACAGCCTGCCCATACACTGAGAGAAAACTTGAGATGTACATGAAATGTGATTAGAATTGGGCGCACACTGATTACCTTCTTAGCTGTAATGGTTTCTATCGCTAAATGAGTTAAAATAAAAATGATATAATGTTTTTAACAAGCCGTAGTGAGCTTAACTGACACAAGAGATACGAAAGATGTATGGATAAGTTTTGACATAATTTAAATTCCCTTTATGGAGAGCAATACATTTTGATATGCGTTTGAATAATTTTTAAAGTTTTTGTCTTGAGTAGTTTCAAAACATGTGATTATACAGACGTTAAATGAGTTTGCCAATCAATTTATTTATAGGCTATACCAGTAGATAAAATTAATAGTATTAACAAAAATACGGGGGACAAATATTGCCCTTACAACTCTTACAACGGTATAATCAGCCTTCAGAGAAGAAAATACATTTGGTCAGAGCCACTTTCATTATACTTGTACAAGGCTTGCAAATGATAATTAAATAGATTTTATAGCTTAGTTGTTGAAAGCAAACTTGTTTCCTTTGGGTGGATCAAGGCTCGCCAAAAAAGCACGTTTTTAAAGAGAAACGTTGAGCTTCTTTAAATACCTTTCATTCAATTTATAAATAAATCAACAAATGAGGTTCATATTTAATTGCATCACTCAAAAGTTGCAATAAGTTTGGAAGATATTACAGATTACAGTTTTTTTGACTGTTCCAATCCATGGTTATGAATCAAAGGAATAACTACATAAAATAGATTTAAATGAATAAATTAAGATTTTGAAAGCTCTTTCGATAAGTCAGCGACACGAGTACGAGTACGCTTCCGCAAACAGGAGTTCATTATTATTATACCCTGTACCCAAAGGGTAAAAGGGTATATTAGTTTTGTGCGAGAGTATACATGTAACACGCAGAAGGAGGCCTGGCAGATCCCACAAAGTATATATATTCTTGATCAGGGTGACAAGATGAGTCGATATCTTACCAACTATTAGAGCTAGAATAACCAAACTCGGTAAGTAGATTCTCCTAAGCCCGATAAAGGACAAGTTTGGAATTTTCAACTAAAATTTGGTAGTCACATCCAGTTAGTGTTTATGTGTCCGTATACTAAGTTTCAATATGATAAATCAATTAGAAAGTTATAGCCATAAATATAATCTTTGCCCAAGCTATGTAGCTGTTGTTGTTGTTGATAATGTCTGTTCACATATTTCTGTACTTCACATTTGAATAATTTGTATTTAATTAATTAATTTAAAATTCACCATTCTTATTTTTGGGAGTGTGTCCAGGATATTTAAGAGTTGAGAGCCCGCTCGACTCTAGCATTCCTTTCTTGTTTTCCTCCCGATTTTACGAGTCGATTTATCTGCAGTCGCTTGGTCGACTGTAACAATTATTTATGGAACACTGACGAGACCGAATTCATTTGATCCATTATGCAAGAAAAGCACCGAAGATGAAGAACGAAATTTGTTCTCAGTGTAGAACAGCAGCTGCAGCTGCGATATGGCAGAGGCTCATGTGCATTGTATTTCATTTATTATTACTTTGGCTTTGGAGCAATGAGTAAATAAACGTGAGCGTTCGCTATTTAAATGTTAAGAACAAAGCAGGAGTGGGCGGCAGGTGGGGGCGCGTGCAGAGGCGGGTGTGAAAACTTATACAGCAGACGCGCCTAACCAACAGTGTCGCTGTCTGTGTGCACGCCTCTGCATATGTATTTGTGTGTATGGGTTATGTTTATAGGCCACACACCAAATCTGCTCTGGATGGGGCAACGGCGTCGGCGACGATGTTGAGAAGAACACTGCCGGCCGCATTTGGATAATAAAGTGAAAAGTTGATTAAAGTTTTGCGAAAAAGCGTAAATTATTCATTGTTTTGCGCATATATATGTATATATATATGAGCATGTGTGTGTGTTTATTTGTCGGTGCGCGTCGTTATGTGCCCATATGTGCGCGCTGAACACTGCCTTTTGTTGTTGCCATGGGGCAAGGGGGCAGGGGCAGGGGGCAGGGGTGCTGATGGCAAGCTTGCCCTCGCTTTGTGTCGAAACAATTCTTCATACGTGTATGTGTAAGTTGGCCTGTCAGTCTGTTTGTCCTTGCGTCCTTCCAGCCATCTGTCCGTCCGCCCATTCGCCCAACCACCCGCTCCTGTGCGTGTTTATAAATTAAAAGCGTTTTCATCTTTGGCTAAAGTTCATAATTTTTGCGCTTTTCATTATGGCCACACACATATATACACACTTTGAAAGAGAGACGTGCATACCCACATGGATAAGCACACACACACACACACACGCACACATTCACACATGGGTCCTTCTAATTGTCCTTGCCAACAGCTGCCAACGGGCCCAAGCGACGGCAATAACTGGCGGCTTGTGCTTTGAGGGCTTCGCCTGGGCAGCTGGCAATGGCAACGGCAACGGGAAGGTGTTGGGCTGAAGGGGAAGGGGAACAGGACCTGCAACCCTTGCAGCGCAAAAGCGTTCTTATTCTTTGCCCTAATCTCGCTTTGCTTACGTACACTTAAAAAAGTATTTACTTTCAATTTGTTTCACAATTCTCTCTTACTCTGCTCTAATTATGTACAAGTATATCTAGGAATGCATTACACTACAATAAGTGCAAGCGAATGGGGAACATATACTTGCCCCAACCATATCAGGACTTAAATGTTTTTACTTCAATAGGTACCTTCAAATGCCAAAATGAGCCATTACAGTGTTTTTTGTTGAGTGAAGATCGTATAGTACCTTTCGATACAATATTCTACTCAAGTACGAACACTTTACAAACACTCATTCAAATATTGCTGTAAGGCCCTCAACATCCCTACCATAGCTG